AACCATCTTCCAGGGCAGAAGGAGACATGGAAGAGATGCGGCACAGAAATGGGGTTCTTGGCTTCTGGAGGACAGAGGGCTCTTCGTACGGCAGCGGACACTTCAGCCACATTAGAAAACCATCTTCCAGGGCAGAAGGAGACAAAAAAGATGCGGCACAGAAATGGGGTTCTTGACTTCTGGAGGACAGAGGACTCTTCGTATGGCAGCGGACACTTCAGCCACATTAGGGTCTCTGTCAACAGTCATCAGATTTATGTCAAACAGCATCTTTTCAAGAGCACTAAATCAACATTGAAACTGAATGCAAGTGTTTTTTTCTTTTTTTTCCTTTTTTTCTTTTTTTTTAGCTAAACAGCTTAAGAGGTCAAACACAAATCTCCTACTCATAGTAGAAAGAAGTTTTCCTTCAATCTTCATGTTCAACCACCACGATGCAGTGGGGTGCCTGCTCACAGGCAGAGCTACCTGGGTGCTCCTTGGTGGCAGGCTCGCTGTCCCCTCCACAGCCAGCGTGCCTGAAGCTGCCCTTCAGGCCATGCCAGATCCTGCAGGCAGAGCACGCCCTGTGGCTTCTTGTAATTTTTCGCTGACGAATGCTTCGACGCCGGGTTGTGTGAGGACAGCGGGCGCTGTGTTCATTAGGAAAGCAGTTGCGGTGGCTCCAGGTGCTCCTGCCCAGCTGCCGAACACCCCTTGCCTGCTGCAGGGGTCAGGAGGATGAAAAAAGACTAAAATTGTCAGAAGTTTCCCAAGTGCCAATAGCACTGCCTGCCCCTTCTGTGATACCAAATCTCAGCTGTGCAGCACAGAGTGCCCAAAGTCCCATCTGCGAACGATGCTGCTCCACAGCCTGAAAGCTGCCAAGAAGTTGTGTTGTTTGCACTGGTTTTTTGGATATGCCACTTGGGAGCAAGTTGGATGTTTCTGTTTACCTGAAACTGCCTTGGCATTTGCAATCAGATACACCTTAGCTGCAGGCCCGAGCCACAAATCATTGCTTTTCCAAGCACAGAGAACACTCACGCTGTGTTTGATAGGAAGTGTTTAGCATTTAAAGACCTGCTCACAACTGCTAGTGGTAAATAACATGTTTAACTCATTATGAAATGAATACCAAGTGCATCAGAGCATAGCAAAGTACAGCTTCAGTCATTTCACAAAGGTTTTCAACACATAATAGTCTTCACAGCAGCGCTATTGATACTTCGTCTTTATGGGATAAGACTGCATTTGTTCTTTGTCTCCAGGGCTTTCGTTTTGATGAATGGGTCCTCTGTGCCACCTCACTGAAGTGATCACCAGTAATGTGAAAGGTTTATCGTCGTATTTCTAGGGATCTCAAAATATCGTTAGTAAAAATTCCGAATATTTATTTCTCATATGTAGCTGTAAGAGCAAGAGAAGGAAAAAAAAAAGGTTTTTTTTGTTGTTGTTTTGTTTGTTTGTTTTTTACTTCAGAGTGCTAAGTAGCAGGCTCCGCTTCCTGAAAAGTGTGTTAAGAAAGCAAGGACAAGCATAGATCAGGGTTTGCTTTTCATATCACTGAGTTTGTCTCCACTGATGACTGGGGTTGCCTTAGTTTATGGCGCCTTCTTTGCATTTCATCATGGCCCATCTCTTCTGTAATACCACTGCACTAAGGTAATTTGCTCTGGAGTTGTTTCTGCAAATATCACTGCAGTTGTGTACACAAGATAGGCAAGAATCAGGCTGTGAATTACAGCAGCTCCTTATAATTCATTACAGTATTTGTTTTATAGTGAATTGTAATATGTTCCCATGTAATATGTACCCATATGCTAGTATGGGTAATCTGGTCACACCCTCACTTTGAACCTTCCTTTGCTTTCCTAGGATGTGGAAAAATCACAAGTGTTCAAGGACATTTCAGCTGTTTTTGACTGTTCAACTTCCAACACTATCTGATTGCTTTATGTTCACCTGTGAAGAGTGGGAGTTGCAATTTTTCTTTGAACTGCTAGTGCAAACTGAGTTTGCAGAAGGTCTTTCATGGAGTCCACCTCACTGTGTAGTCATAATGCCTTGATTTCATGGCAGTGTGTTTAGGAAGAAAGGTGGCTGTAGGAGTGGTTGGTTTTGACCATGTCTCTTCTTGCCCCCAGCATGGAAGGCTCCATCGTGCGTCTGCCTGAGATCGTCTCCTTGAAAAGGAAATACAAAGCCTACCTCTACCTGGACGAAGCGCACAGCATCGGTGCGGTGGGAGCGACTGGCCGCGGAGTTGTGGAGTACTTTGGGATGAATCCTGACGATGTCGATGTGCTAATGGGAACATTCACCAAGAGCTTTGGTGCGGCTGGAGGATACATAGCTGGCAAGAAGGTAAGTGCAAATGTTTTAACATCAAGGGAGGGGAGACAAGTCTCTCCTTATCTTGTGTGCGATATTTTAATCTCTTTTCCTATAGTCTGCTTCATAGGAGCACTGTTCTAAAGATATTACATTTTTGTCTGGATCTCAAATGCACATAAAACAGTCAGATCTTCTTATTTTTGTCTCATGCTTGTATTATGTGACTTGCTTGGGTTGGGGATTTTTGTGCCACCCTGATGATTGTTTGTCTTGGAAATGTTTAGCCACTTTGTGGTTGGCTAAATGTACTTCGCTATATGAATTTGCATGCAGACTGCTTGTTACTTTATTTCACATTTGTAAACAGTGTGTGGATCAATATAGAGAGATTAAAGCCCCGGTTTCATTCCTGATAATGGAATTCCTAAACCATCTTGTATTGTCATAGTTGCACTTTTTAAGGAAGACGAAGGAAAAAGATTTACTAAGGGCTTTTTGCAACAGCAAAATCTGTGTCCTAAGTTGCTTTACATGCCTTAAGAAAATTACTCCTTGTCAACAAGAGATGTCAACAAAAACAGAGCTAAGCTTGTTTTAACTGGAGGTGTAGAAAAAGAGAAAGTATAATCAGCACCATTGTGTAATGTCGTAGCTTTTGTTGTTTGACAGAAATATCAAGTGGTTGCCGATAATTTACCCCATTTATACCCTACCAAATGTATTCCTTTTTCAAGCAGCTGGCTGAATGAGTAGGAAGCCTGTTTAGGCAACCCGTATGGATAGTGTCAGGATAACATTAATGAGTTGGAGTTTGAGTAGAATAAAAGAGATATAAGAAGGTACAAGGTATATCTTTCTCATTGCATATCTGTTCATTTTTTCCTTCTGGAGATCTCAAATCAAACTAGCATAATGCATCAAACATCATCTTTTTTGTTTCCTTTATGTCCTGAATCTGTATCTGAAGGTTTAACTTTTAGTAGAAGACAATGTAGCTAATACAGCCAGTAATAATAGGAAGCATAGACCTGTAAAAGATGATCTACAGTAATTTTTCATCTAACCCATGGAAGTTTTGATAGTATAAGTGGGTCATCCTTTTTGTATGTGCACATGTCACTACACCGGCCATCAGGCTTCCTGGCCTTGGTGGCAGCTCAGCCCATACGCTTAATACACCTACATTAGTTGATGCAACCAAAAACTCACCGTGGCACCATTTCTTCTGTGTCAGTAAGAGCACAGAAGCCTTGTGGGCTATTTGGTTAAACCCTTAGAACTAAAATTGCATCAGAGCAATTTTAGGCTCTATAAGGTTTTGTAATTTGTAATTGGCATTGAAATTACAGCAAGGACTTACACAGTTTTTTCTTCGTAATAATTTGCACCAATATCTTTGTTTTTCTTCTGGTGATATTTTTTTATCCAAGGCAATTTTTAAGCAGGCCTCCTTACTTTAGCTTGTACTCAACTTTTAGTGTGGTAGCTTTTACTCTCTGACATTTTGCTCTAGGAGTTATAACTTCACATAACACTGATGGACTCAATCAACTTCTAAATCCTACAGTGTTGTTGGGTTCAGAAGAGTAAGTAGCGCTTTGGATATGCCTGCAATACAGCTGTGCTTTTGCTGAGACTACCGATTTTGCTCTTAGTTGTACAAGGAAATGCTCAGGCAGCTGTGCTAACTCTAACATGGCTATCCCCATTATACCGAGGGAAAATTACAGTTTTAAGAAAGTAGTAGTCATATTTGGCTAATATCCAAAGATAGATATCAATCAGGTTGTTTTCCCCAAAGTTAGGTCTTCTGCCAGAGTAACTACAGGGTTTTAGTATGTGTTATGTTTCATTCCCACTAAAAGGGGAACTGAAAAATCATTTAAATGCAGCTGTCTATTGGTCTTTAAATGACTTTGGTTCTTTGTAATAAGTCTCATCATGTAACTAAATATTCTGCTCGAGAGCTTTGTTTCAGCTGTAATTGTCCTACTTACCTTGTAAAGCATTTACACCTGCCAGGTGTTTCTTCAAGCCATGTATTAACAGTAGCAGCCAAGAAAGTAAACCAATAAATGGTGAAACATCCTTTTCCTTCTGCATGTTCTCAGCTCAGCAGTAGTTAAAAGGGGGACCTGCTTTCTGACCACATCAAAGCTCATTCATACTTTGTTTTGCTTGTGTAAGGACCTTGTGGACTTTTTACGAACTCATTCTCACAGTGCTGTGTACGCCACATCCATGTGTCCACCCGTGGCAGAGCAAATCATCAGGGCAATGAAGTGTCTCATGGGACTGGATGGGACAACACAAGGTAAGTCACCCTCACTAACTGCACATGCTCTCTTTGTAACGAGAGCACCTACCAGGTATTATTGACTCTACTTTGTTTTCCGCCCTTATCTACCCATTTGCACAGGGATTGGATGTTGTTCAGCTCTTAGAGAACAAGGATTCTTATAAGTCCTATGTGGAAGGGGGCATCACCATGGTTGTTTTGCACGTGGAAGAATGTAGGCAAAGTGGTGGGATGATGTTCCTAAAGGCATAGTGTAGTAGCAGAGATGGAAATACTCATTCTGAGTGACCTGCTGTAGTCACCAACTCACAGCACCTAACAGCAACAAATAGAAAAAATACCAAAAAATTGTCCTTTGAGTAGGCTGTCTGACTTTGTTGGATGAGTTCAGAAGGAAATCCCCCATCCTTCAAAAAATAGCTTCTCAGAGGTGCTTGTGCAAGGAGTTTCTTCTCAATAAATGCAGTGATCAGTTTAACTTCTTTACAAGTGCAATCCTACAATTTGGCAAACATCTCAAGCACCACTCAGACTTTCAGCACACCTACTGTATGCTGAGCGATGGTTTGATGGTTTGAGTTGTAGTCATTCTCATTCTCATCTCAGTTATTAATTATGGTGTCCTGAAACTAGCTTTGAAACCCATTTTGTCCCCAAACAATTCAGTATTTGGTGTCTTCTAGGAAAAAATTGGTTTGTTTATATTCCTTCTCTGAAGTTGCAGATGCAACTATAGATGCAGAGATGCAGCCACAGAGATGCAGCTCTGTATGCAGCAAGTGACAAAAAAATCTGAGATATCTGCTAGTGTTTCTCATGTAGCATCTGCTACTGTGATGCTGAGATGTATTCAGTGTTTGAGGGCTCAAATCCTATCTATCTCAGGGATAAAAGCTGATGGTTTTGGAACAGATGTAAGTTGGTTTGGGAATGCTTGAGGACAGGTTGCCCTCTGTGTAATTGGTCCTGTTGGACACAGGTTCTGCTCAGAATTGTAATTTCTTTTGTGCTGATTCAGCAGCACCGTTTTTTTCTCCCACCTGCTGAAGGGCTTATCTCTATAATTCTATATTAGATGTCCCCAATAGACTTGAGCAGGGGCAAAGCAAGGATGTGGGAGAGAACAGGTATGTGAGAGAGGGTAAGATCATGTCATGCTGCACTGCGCTGTTCTGTTACAGCAGCCCAGGGCCTTGTTTCAAACCTTGATAGACACACAACTGTTGAGACGGTCCCCTCAGTGAGGCCAGACTTTACAAGACCTCAGTGTATGAAAGGAGGGATGGAAAATCTAGTCCCAGTGCCAAATTCTGCTCAGTGTAATAACGAAGTACAGCAGAACTCCAGTGCAATATACAGGCAATATACAGGAAACAAGAAATGTATGTTTTTGTCGTTTTGGCAGAGAGTTCAAGTTGAAACTGTTGTTGCGCTCTGAAATCTGAAAGGTCAAATTTGCATTTGCTGATGCCTACATCTTGTTTGACATAAGAGACCAGCTCTGACAAGCTGCTTCTCTCTCCACTGTGTGCACAGTGTGTCCGCGATACTCTTCACTAACTAGCTCTGAGAAATGCTTGCCATGAGAGGGCGATCTCATACCGAGCCTGCCCACGAGCTGCGTATTTAAGGGCCTCATAGATGCCGCATGAGAAATGTTATAGTCACAGGACATTTCCAAACCTTCAAAGACTCTTACAAATGACCTTTAGCCACGGTAACTCTTTGTGCACTTCAGTGCAGGCAAGTAGGAGACTTGGTTCGAGATGGAGGTTTATAAGATGTGGTGCTTGGCTCTGTCTTAGGGCTAAGAGATTGCAGCATTTTGTCTTTCAGAAGCAGCTTGCTTAATGACATGGCGTTTGTATTTTTGCACAAACCAAATGCTTACCAAGTCTCCTGCAAATGCTCTAGGAAGTAAATTACTGTTCTGCAAGGTCCTTAAAATTTTATTTGTAACATGAAATACAAATGAATAGAAAAACAGATTAATAAATCATATATCACAACTTAGTACATTGCACAAAGACCACTAAACTAGTTATGATGTGCAAAAATGTTTCTGAGCCAGACTCATTATTTTAGTCTATTGGTTTTCCTTTCATGTGGGCCCTCCTTCATTAGACTGTCTTGTAGACTACATAAAAAAAAGAAAAGAAAGAAAGAAAACACACACAGGAAAAAATGTTCTGCTGGCCTACACTGCAGTGCTGCCTTGGCATCAGAGGGAGGAAGGTGGTGGCGCAGAGAGGAGAGGAGCAGAAGGGAATAGAGCCCTGTCTCCTCTTAGATGTTTTTGTTTCCGAGGAGCTCAGCGGTTTGGGCTGAGCTCTCTTGCTCTGTGGCCATTGAAAATGGTGACTCCTGCACGCGAGCTGCCCGGGGGACATGTGTGGCAGAGAGGTTTCAAGTGAACGGGATCTACCTCCAAGTGATAATGGGCGCTCTGTAAAATGTTGTTTTGCTCTGTTTCTCTGGAAAGCTGATGGATCATTAAAGGGAGTGTATTTTGCGGTTGGTTCAAATGGCTTTTGCTTCCCACCGAATTATTGTGAGTTTTTTTTTTTTTTTAAGGAGATCTCCATTAATGGGCGATGGCTTGTCCTCTGGAGGGCATTCCCCTAGGGAGGGGTCCTTGCAAAGGATACAGGGAGTAAAATTCTAGTTCAGTTAAAAGTTCCATGCTAATCACAGGGTGCTTCTTGAAAAGTGTGAAATAACAGCGCAACAAATGTTGTCTATCGTTTTCTTCCTATCTTTTCTTTCTTTTCCTACCTTTTCTATCTTTTTCTTCTTCTACCTCTCTTTTTCTTACATCTGAACTTGATGACTAGCTCCTAGGCAGATTAATAGAAAGTCAAGGGAAGGCAGATTATTTTTGCCATTTAATTGCTGTATTGAAAATTCTTTATACTTTCTAACATTTCACACAGTCTTCTCTTATATTTCCCTAGATATCGCGTTATCACGTGCCCTTCCATTTGTTGCTAGTTTTTCCCCGTTGATCTGTTAAGAGATGACCTAAAAGAGTGGACTGTATACATATATGTATATATATATAATATAGAGTGGATAATGCAGTAATCAGAAGCCAGAAATGCTGGCTTTGTTTATGTTTCCTCTGACGTGTGTTAGAATGGTTGTTCTACAATCTTTTTCTTCATTTATCTCCAGTTAGCAAGATTATGGCTGGTTGGAATAGGAATTGGGGCCTCCCGTTCCAAGGCAGGGCAGTTTATTGGATGTGTGACTGCAGAATATGAATGACTGCACATGTACACGGGGGGTGCAGCGTAATTAGAGGGAAGGCATGGGTAGTGCAGCCAATGCTCAACTTGCTAATGCTTTAAAGATAACTCTACCAAACCTAAACTGCTTAGCTGGAAATTATCCATAACAGGTGTCTGCTTCAGGCTCTATTTTTTTCCTATTACAGAAAAGATTAGACTCGTAGATACACATAGGAGACTTTAACAGTCTGGGGGAAGAAAAAAGTCCTCTTCCCTGAAAAGCTTCAGTTTCTCCAGGCTTTGGGATGATGATCTCAATCCTGACAGCCCAACTTACCATGCAACAGGGACCAGCTAACTGGTGGGTGGTGAGGAAGGGCATTAGGACCAAAATAAGACGCTGAGAAGACAGGCTGCTGGGAGCAAACAGGGCCTGCTGTGGGGAAGGAAACAACCATGAGTCTACAAGCAGGGACTCTTCAAACATGTCGTTACCTCAGCAGTCTTGGTTGGCTGTGAAACAGCTGGGAAGGTGCACTAGCAAAAAGTCTGCTTACCCTCCTTTTTGGCAGGACACTGTTTTGGCTGGGGAGTCTCTTATTTAAAAAGAAAAAAAAAAACAAAAAACTCATGCTGATAAAAGTAAAAAGATAGAGACAAGACATGATGTTTCCTGAAGAAAAGGCTATAACTATATTGGTAGGTCCCCTGTCAATATTTGTGCTAGGCATGAAACTTCAATGTCCTGTTGTAATGATTGACATCTCGTACAACTTGGTCATCTGAAGTTCAGTAAGTAGATTGTGATGATGCTGCAGAACCCAAGTCCCTTATCACAAATTCCTTCTCTTACCATGTTTTCTGCTGTGACTTGAGAAAATTAAGCACAAGAAATGGTGAATGAACACCAAGCATTAGTACCCTTCAAATTAACAGGTGTAGTTATTCCTGCCTGGGGAAGACAGTCAAGAGGACTATGATCCTTTGTTTCCAGAGTGACTTTTATCCTTGAGAGCATAATTTTTAGATGATATTATAGCTTGTATAGTTCACAGGTAGTAGTTCACAAGCTTATGTAGTTTACAAGTGTCTGAATTTTGGCACCTGTATTTCCTTTAGTAATGCCATAAGGCAGTAGGTTCCATATTTCAGGTCATGTAGTCTACAAAGAAATCATTTTATCCATCTCATCCCTTTGTGGCCTTTTCATCCTGAATGGGTCTCTCGCCATTCATTAGGAGATATTGGAAGCACAGGTTCTCATGGTATTTACTCTTTATAATTCATTATATAGATACTTTTTATACATTCTCCTCGTGGCTTCTCATTACACCACTGCAGATACTTCGGGAGACTCAGCAGCTGCCTTTAGCAGTTTTATCCATACGATGACATTGTTGTTGCCTCAAAATACTTGGAGCCTGTGCAAGTTTTCTTGTATGCTTACTTACATGCAAAGCACTAACACAGCCCCTCCAGCTGTGACCTTGGACCTTTTCTTTTCCCTTCTGCCTGAGAATACCAAAAGCATATTTTTACACTTAAATTTGATAGGTAAAAAATAGAACCACTCTGCAGACAAAGTTAAAGCTGCTAGAAAAAAAAAATCTAAGTTTCTTTATCACTAAGAATAAATTATAGTGATATAAAAATCAAATGAGAGCATTTCCAAAGTCCTATTTTTTAAAATCAAATGAGAGCATTTCCAAAGTCTTTTTTTGTTGTTGTTTAGTGCATGACACACAATAATTCACCAACAGCAATTATGCATTTTTCATATGTTAC